AAACCAAAAATTTTTAATTAGGGTAGACTGCAAGTCTGCCAAAGAAATTTTACAAAAAGATGTTAAAAATCTTGCCTCAAAACAAATTTTTGCGAGATGGCAAGCAATTTTAAGTGTTTTTGATTTTGACATAGAATATCTCAAAGGCACTTCAAACTCCCTTCCTGATTATCTTACCCGTGAATATTTACAGGATAAGTAAAATGCCTAGAAAGGCAGTTACCCCTTCTAGGGGAGGGACCACCAGAGGCGGCAAAGTCAGATTAGCTCTGACTCTAAACAAACCAAGACCACAATCTGCTTCAGCAGATTCAAAAACCTCTTCTTCTGGGTCATCTACCCCCATTGAGTCATCGACTCAAAAGGCAATCCAAATTGTTGAGTCATCAACTCAGCAATCTGGAACTCCAAAAGAATCCTCCAAAAAGACTGATTCTGTTGTCAAAACCACCAAACAAACCAAAGCAGACTATGCTCTCCCAATTAGTACGCTTTTAGCTGTCCAACAAGGAAGCTTGAGTAGCCTACCAAATAAATCTTGGGCAGACATTGCCTCTGAAGAAGATATGGAATTAGATTTAGCTAGCCTAAACACTATACTCCAGTCCTTCAACCAAACCCAAAAAACAATAACCAATAAAACAGAAGGGACCCTTGACCTTCAAAAGGGAAAACAAAAAACTTCAAATCCAAGCCATTATGTAGCCAAAGGAAAATTCTCCTCAGTCATACAAATGGAACCTGAATTTTGGGACAAAAACCCATACAAGGCAATTACCAAAGTTTTCCCACCAGGATTTCATTTCAGACCATATCAGGCTAATAAAACCAGGCAGTTTTATGAGTTTATCTTAGTGGATTCAGATTCTGTTTCCATTAAACACTACAAAGACCACAAAGATCCGTCAGTTACAACCCATTCGACAATCCAAATCCTGAAAGTCTTAACTCCAAAGGCTTTTGGAAAAAATTTAAATTCTTATAAAAAGTTTTCCCAACCATTTGATCCAGTAGGATATAATTATTGGGATTACATTGACGCATGGACAATAGTGAACACGCACAGCAACGCTTCTTGGAGAACTCTGGAATGCTCACTTTCACCAGCAAAAGTGATTACGCAAAAGCTCTTCACAATGCAACCTCTCTGGAACGATCACTTTTGCCAGCAAAAGTGATTACGCAGAAGCTATTCTTCATTTTATGGTTCTGGAGTGATCACTTTCACCAGCGAAAGTGATCACGCAGAGGCTGTTCTTCAATTACCAGCTTCTTTCCTCCAATTTTTGCTACTTTTCTTCTATTTTTCCTTTGATCATCCAATCCTCGTAAACTTGGCTCAGAATTTCCTACAAAAACATACTTGAATTGTCACATTTTTATAGAAAATCTATGAATTTTAAAACAACTATGTTTATGAGTGACATGCAACATTTTATTATTTTTTTAGGTTTTCTACTATTTCTAGCATGTTTTCTTTATTAAATGCACTAAAAACTATTGTAAAATACTAGTAAAATAAGGATTCAGCAGTGAACTTATGAGAGCGGTTAAAAATGAACTGTTCTCCAAAGTGAACTTATGAAAGTGGTCCTAATTGAACAGCTCTCCAAAGTGAACTTATGACAACAGTTCAAATTGAAGCACTATCCAAAATGAACTTATGAGAGCGGTTAAATTTGAATCGCTCTCCAAAGTTAACTTCTGAGAGCGGTTAAAATTAGGCCAAAGTGAAATTAGTTCAAATTGAACCGCTATCCAAACTAAACTTATGAGAGCAGTTCAAATTGAAGTGCTCTCCAAAGTTAACTATGCAATGACGTCGTGCCACTTTCCTGCTCACTCTCAAATGAGTAGTTCATTCATTGGTAAGTTTTTTCATTTTCTATATTTTAAATATTAATTTCAGATAATTTAAACAATTATTCCATTTTTTCATTAAGTTATATATTTTTAATACGTTTAATGTTTTCTTTTTTATTCCTCCTATCATGCCTTAGATCACGATGATAAGTAAATCAAATTTAAAAACAAATAGATAAAATTATACTTGTCACCAATTTCATTTAAATTCAAATAATTTTTTAAAATTTTGATATATGAAAAATAGATTAGATTTACGAGTGAACTTATGAGAGCGATTCAAATTAAATTGCTCTGCAAAGTGGACTTCTGAGAGCGTTTCAAACTGAACTGTTCTCCAAAGTGAACTTCTGAGAGCGGTTATATTTTAGCGCACTCTAAAGTTAACTTCTAAGAGCCGTTCAAATTGGGCAAAAGTGAACTTATGAGAGTGGTTAAAATTGTACCGCTCTCCAAAGTTATCTTATGAGAGCGGTTCGAATTGAACCGCTCTCCAAAGTGAACTTACTGATAGCGGTTAAATTTGAACCGCTCTCTAAACTTTGCATTTTCAATTTTTTTTTTCACAAAACCAAAGCAAACCAAACTGACCCGTGGACACTCCTGCAACTATGGATTTGGGGAATTATCAATTAGGTCCCTTTTCAAGTTTTCCCTCTCACTTTCTCCACTCGTATTAGAATGGGCACTATGCAACGACGTCATACCACTTTCCTGCTCACTCTCAAATGAGTAGTTCATTCATTTGTCAGTTTTTTCATTTTCTATATTATAAATATGAAATTCAGACAATTTAAACAATTATTCCATTTTTTTCATTCAGTTATATATTTTTCATACGTTTAATGTTTTATTTTTTATTCCTCTTATCATGCCTTAGATCACGATGATAAGTAAATCAAATTTAAAAACAAAAATAGATAAAATTATAATTGTCACCAATTTCATTTAAATTAAAATAATTTTTTAAAATTTGATATCTGAAAAATAGATTAGATTTAAGAGTGAACTTATGAGAGCGGTTCGAATTGAACCGCTCTCCAAAGGGATCTTCTGAGAGTAGTAATATTTGAACAGCTTTCCAAAGTTAACTTCTGAGAGCGGTTCAAATTAGGCCAAAGTGAAATTATTTTGAATTGAACCGCTCTCTAAACTGAACTTATGAGAGCGGTTCAAATTGAAGCGCTCTCCAAAGTGAACTTATGAGAGCAGTTAAATTTGAACCGCTCTTCAAAGTGAACTTATGAGAGCGGTTCAAATTGATGCGCTCTCCAAAGTGAACATATGAGAGCGGTTCCAATTGAAGCGCTCTCCAAAGTGAACTTGTGAGAGCGATTAAATTTGAGCCACTCTCCAAAGTTAACTTCTGAGAGCGGTTAAATTTGAACTGCTCTCTAAAGTTAACTTCTAAAAGCAGTTCAAATTGGGCCAAAGTGAACTTATGAGACCGGTTAAAATTGAACCGCTCTTCAAAGTGAACTTATGAGACCGGTTCGAATTGAACCGCTCTCCAAAGTTAACTTCTAAGAGCGGTTCAAATTGAAGCGCTTTCCAAAGTTAACTTCTAAGAGCGGTTCAAATTGAAGCGCTCTCCAAAGTTAACTTCTTAGAGCGGTTAAATTTAAACTGCTTTTCAAACTTTGCATTTTCAAATTTTTTTTCACTAAACAGAACCAAACCAAAACGACTCGTGGACACCCCTGTATGGATTTGGGGAATTATCAATTAGGCCCATTTTCAAGTTTTCCCTCTCACTTTCTTCACTCGTATTAGAATGGGCACTATGCAACGACGTCATACCACTTTCCTGCTCACTCTCAAATGAATAGTTCATTCATTGGTCAGTTTTTTCATTTTCTATATTATAAATATGAATTTAAGATAATTTAAACAATTATTCAATTTTTTTCATTAAGTTATATATTTTTCATACCTTTAGTGTTTTATTTTTTATTCCTCCTATCATGCCTTAGATCACGATGATAAGTAAATCAAATTTAAAAAGAAAAATAGATAAAATTAAAATTGTCACCAATTTCATTTAAATTAAAATAATTTTTCAAATTTTTATTTATGAAAAATAGATTAGATTTAGGGGTGAACTTATGAGAGCGGTCCAAATTGAAGCGCTCTCCAAAGTTAACTTCTGAGAGGGAATAAATTTGAACCGCTCTCCAAACTTTGCAATTTCAAAATTTTTTTCACAAAACTTAACCAAACCAAACCGACCCGTGGACACGCCTGCAACTATAGATTTGGGGAATTATCAATTAGGCCCCTTTTCAAGTTTTCCCTCTCACTTTCTCCCCTCGTATTAGAATGAGCACTATCCAACAAAGTCGTACCACTTTCCTGCTCACTCTCAAATGGGTAGTTCATTCATTGGTCAGTTTTTTCATTTTCTATATCATAAATATGAATTTTAGATAATTTAAACAATTATTTTATTTTTTTATTAAGTTATATATTTTTCATACGTTTAATGTTTTATTTTTTATTCCTTCTATCATGCCTTAGATCACGATGATAAGTAAATCAAATTTAAAAATAAAAATAGATAAAATTATAATTGTCACCAATTTCATTTAAATTAAAATAATTTTTTAGATTTTTATATATGAAAATTAGATTAGATTTACGAGTGAACTTATGAGAGCGGTTCGAATTGAACCGCTCTCCAAAGTGAACTGACAAATTAAATTTGCTAATTGCTTCCATACAGTGTTATGCGTTTCATTTATTTGTTAAATTGCTAATTATTTTTTATATTACCAAGATTGCTAATCCTTTGTTTCCCCTGTACAGCATCTTTATTATCGAGTCCTAATTTAACTAGGAAAGCTACCCGTCAAACTCTAACTAAGGAGGGCCTATGATGGTGATGCAAACCCAACAATATTGTGAGGTGCTGAATTGGCTGATCATATTCCCATTAATTTATTAGGATTTACTTAAACAATGAACAAGAGGTAAAATAGCATACATAAACAATAAATCTACTGGTACATTTACCAGATAAAGAAGTTTCCCAGGGTAGCTAGTTACTTAAAGAAACTACGGCAACAACATACTTGCAACTTGCTTGCTGCACCCCCTGAATCCTGATTAGTACACGAATTTTCAAAATCTCAGGCTCATTTAGTAGAAGGAGAAAAAATTTTAAATTGAACATTCATATAGCATTTATAATAATCGGCCAAGGCTCCTCAATGAACCAGAGAAAACAGATAAACCAATAAAACATGGATATATCATTGATATAATTTTCTACAACGTTATTTTTTTTCTTTGCTTCTTCATCGCATCAATCATCTCATACCACATTTGTCTCTTCTCTCTTCCAATTTCTTCCTTTGGACAAACTTTTTACAAAGAAATTGTATAAATTCAAAATCTCCATATCATAATCTTGATGCAGCTGAGTCCTTCCCGTTCATTCATTCATTCATTCATCTCCCTACACATATTTCAACGTGACAATGAGGACGTTCCTAATCCTAGGCAGAGAAGGTGACATTGAGAATATCTGGAAACTTGTCTTTGATAGCAGCTTTGATTCCTGATCCAATGGACTCAGGCCCAACATACTTCACAAGACACTCCCCACCTTCAACGGACAACACTTCCACACTCCCTTCATAATTCTTAATGGTCGGTCTCAATATCCCAAGATGATTATTCACCGCCTATAAATAATTTCAATTTTCACATTAGACAATCATATAATCACTTGTTATTATAAACAATTTCAATAATTCAAATATGTAAACAAAAGCTAACCTCAACCGTTGTCTCTCTCGTTTCTTCGTCGTAGATTTGACGTATATCCTTCACGGCTTCGCCAAATTTTTCCTTGAGAACGCGCTCGATTCCCATTTTCATTGTTGTGGTGGAGCTAGGGCAACTCTCACATGCTCCTTGGAGACGTAGGGATATAACGCTGTCTTTCACGGAGACGACGACCACGTTGCCGCCGTCGACGATGAGGTAAGGGCGAACGTCGTAGAGAACGAGGTCAACATTAGATGCGGTGAGGTCAAATTTCTTGGCAGAGTATAATCCGGGAGAAGACTGAAGATTCTGGTTGTGATTAGAGGCAAAGACCAATCAGATTGTGCTATTTTGCTTTCAAGGTGTGAAACTGAAAATCGATGATTTGAATTCATGGCTATGGTTTTGAGTACTGAATCTAATTGTGGAACAAATAGGGGTTATTGCCGCCATAGGAGCCACTAATCAGAGGCTCACGAACATTGCGAATGTGAAAGATATTTTGTTTGAAATAATTTTTCGTAAGAGGCAAGTGTCAATAGTAACTAACCCACTGGGCTTGGGAAATGGGCCTCTCACGTGTTTGGGTTGTCCCCATTTGTTATTGGAACTCTCGTTTGTACTAAAAGCATGTTTTATATAAATGAAATTAAAAGTAACTGTTTAACAAAAATTATTTCACTTCCCTCTTGATAGCTTAATATTATGTTAGAGCGAAATAAAATGTAATTTTTTTTAATTTTGATTAAAATTTGTAGTAAAAATATTTAATAAATTATATTTAAGTTATATCGATTAATTATTAGGGAGCACTTTGATTGAACTTTGTAGATATAGCATCTCGTAAATTTAAAATATAACTATATTAGGAGCTCTACATTGTATTACCACTAACATAGTATCAAAGTTTTGCAAGTATGATAACAATGCTCTCTCACTCATCGGCTGTAATCTTATAGTTCTAAAACCTTATCTTTCATTTAAATAATAATACGGCATTAATCAAAGAAAAAAAAATAAGTTACATCATGTTATGGTTAAAGTAATTTAAACTTAACATTATTGTATAAAATTTACTATCAAAAATTCACTAGCATTAATCTTGAATATATTTTTTTATTTTTGTTTTTGTTAACTTATTAAGACATTTGAACCAACCTCTACAAAATTTATACGTATTCAATCAAATATTGAATATTTGGTAAAAGAGAAAATTATATAGTGAATACACATATATATCCCCCCCCTCTCTCTCTCTCTCTCTCTCTCTCTATATATATATATATATATATATATATATATATATATAATTTTCTTACACCAATGTAAGTCTAAAAATTCTTACGCTTAATTTGAGCCTTTTATTTAACCAAAATTTAATCGTCCGTAAAGTAATAAATTATAACCTATTAAATTTAAATTAAATAAAAAGTTTAGATTAGATGTAAAAAATTTTAAATTTATACCAGTATAAAAAGATCCTATGTATAAAAGTGATTTGAATCTTATTCAATTTTCTACCTAAAGAGGAATATTTTGGAAGTTGACAATGATTGGTTGGTTTGGTTGGTCGAAGTGTGGGGTAATTGACTAACCGGTAGTTATATTATGTGAAAATTTTGGGAATTGAGGTCCACCACAGCCTATACATATGGTAAAATAATTTAAATATGATAAAATATAAATAATATACACAAAATATGATGTTTTGGTAAATTTACGTGAATATGGTGTTTCAAAAATCGCCATTGACAAGATATTCTAGAGACTGAATGACATGGACATCTTAAAAATTGCCACTAATGATGTTTGACTACACTGCAATGGATCTTTCAAAAATCGCCATTGGCGAGATATTTCGAGAACTCAAACAAAAACCTGTAATCTGGAGACTGAATGACATGGACATCTGAAAAATTGCCACTAGCGATGTTTGACCACACTGCAATGGATCTCTAAAATCGTCATTGGCCTGAATTAGAGAGCGATTCAAATTGAACTGCTCTCCAAAGAGAACTTATGAGAGTGCTTCAATTTGAATCGCTCTCCAAAAAAACTTATGAGAGCGACTTTATGGTAATTGCCTATAAATACCGAGTTCTTCATTCTTTGTAAGTTGAAAGAGCAAGATTTTAGAGAGTGTAAGTGGAGAGGAAACATTTTAGATAAAAAAAGTGAGTTTATTATTGAAAAAAAAAATAAGTGTACTTTTATTAATTTATTTTAATGGTGAAATTATTACAAATACTTGTAAATATGTGTTATTTAGGTATGAAAGGCCAACATGTGTATATATGAGAGAGAATGTATCATTTGAAGAACTGCAGCATTGACTTATTGAAAATATTATATTTGAGTTTCCAAAGGCAGTGAAAAGTATTATTTATAGGTGTCCAGTATCAATATTTGGAGGTTTTGTATAATATAAGACACTTCCAATAATGAATGATGCTGATATTTTACAAATGTTTCAAATACATCAGCGTCATCCGCCAACTCCTGCCATTGAGTTATATGTTTTTTTCAAAGACATTGCAGTTAATATTGATAAAGAAGATGTTGATGAAACATATGCAAACAGTGTACCAAACAGAGATATAGAATGGATAAATGCTAACAATGAAAGTGTTGACTCTGACCCTGAAAGGGAATATGAAAGCAGTGAGTTGAGTGAAGATGAAGATATGGATGACGATGAAGGTGGGGAGTGTCTTGTGAAGTATGTTAGGCCTGAGTCCATTGGATCAAGAATCAAAACTGCTATCAAAGACAAGTTTCCAGATATTCTCAATGTCACCTTCTTTGCCTAGGATTAGGAGCGTCCTCATTGTCACGTTGAAATGTGTAGGGAGATGAATTAATGAATGAACGAACGGGAAGGACTCAGCTGCATCAAGATTATGATATAGAGATTTTGAATTTATACAAATTCTTTGTAAAAAATTTGTACAAAGGAAGAAATTGGAAGAGAGAAGAGATAAATGTGGTATGAGATGATTGATGTGATGAAGAAGCAAAGAAAAAAAATAACGTAAAAAATTATATCAATGATATATCCATGTTTTATTAGTTTATCTATTTTCTCTGGTTCATTGAGGAGCCTTTGCCGATTATTATAAATTCTATATGAATATTCACTTTGAAATTTTTTCTCCTTTCACTAAATGAGCTTGAGATTTTGAAAATTCGTGTACTAATCAGGGTTCAGGAGGTGCAACAAGCAAGTTGCAAGTGTGCTATTGCCGTAGTTTCTTTAAGTAACTAGCTATCCTGGGAAACTTCTTTATCTGGTAAATGTACCAGTAGATTTATTGTTTATGTATGTTATTTTACCTCTTATTCATCGTTTAGGTAAATCCTAATAAATTAATAGGAATATGATCAGCCAATTCAGCCTCTCACAAAATTGTTGGGTTTGCATCAACATCATAAGCTCTCCTTAGTTAGAGTTTGACAGGTAGCTTTCCTAATTAAATTACAACTCGATAAAAAAGATGCTGTAAAGGGGTAGCAAAGGATTAGCAATCTTGATAATATGAAAAATAATCTACAATTTAACAAATAAATGAAATGCATAACACTGTACGGAAGCAATTAGCAAATTTAACCCATCCACCTAGATGTTAATGTGAAGTAGCCCAGTGCCAATGAACCCTGGCTTGTACTTGTATTCATTTAAATAAAATACTTGTTTTTCCTCTTTTTTACATATCAAAACATATTTTTAATCTTATTTTTACGCTTATATTTCTTTATCCCGTATTTCTTTCTCCCCTAATCCCTATTTCATCCTTTGTCCAAACAAGGTATGTGATTCTTCTATGTGGAGAGAAGGCACCAAGAAATGTTGAGCATAACGAATCATCATGAAGATAGCACTAAGAAAATTATTTCAAATATGGAAAGGACATAACCAGTTAATGAATTAGTTACTCCTTCCTTCTTTCCTAAACTCCTGTGTTTGAATGATCATTTTGCTAAACATTTTCTTCATTGGGAGTGTCTGCTCGTTATTAAGGTTTTTTTCCTCAAATTTTTGCTATTTTTATTTTTCACTCTTTTTCCCTGAAGCGAGACACATGTTCTGTCAGCTTTCAATCTCTACATCTCGATATAAGCTTTCAAAGACATCTAGATTTTCCCAATTCCAAACTTATATACATGCATATCCAAATAAAAAGCCTTTTCCATGTACCTGGTATCCCTACAAAGCATTACCAGCACAAAAAGTAAAGTAAACCTACATGGTTAAGATGGGAGATCTCACTCATCCCAAGGATCTCAATGCTCCTTTTTCATTCAAGAGTGGCATTAGTCTGAATTGCGGAACAAAGTAAACCGAACTTCATTTAGACTAAATATACCGCAATCAAAATTTCTAGCTGTTTTGAGTTCATTGCTACTTTCTACAACATTCAACATTTTGATTGAAAGAATTCTACGAGTTGAAAACACCTTTCCTGGTGGCCACCTGACAAATAACATGCAAAACATCATTCAGTAAATATAATGCATTAACAAACTTTCTTGTGCTGGTTAATTATTCAAGCAAAATTGAAGAACAAGTACTGTAAAGATATTGAAGCACCAAAGATATATTACAGAACCACACAAATGGTACAGACGGATATTAAATTATAAAATGGCAAATAACAAGTTTTGTCTGTATCATCTGTGCAAAATTTAAGCTCTCACCTGTAGAGCTAAAGATCTGAGGCCTTTAGTTTCCTAGGTCTTTTATGAGCTGATGACGATGGAGCTCCCGGAGCCTGAAAACAAAATTTTCAATATCAACAATAATGATTAGGAAAATGGTCCAAAAGTATGAGGAAAATGAACAATCCAGGATAAATAATTGGACAAACACTTTGTAGTGTACCTTGCGCTTTTGGTCCTTTCTGCCAACCCTTTCCACTGAAACCAGAGTTATATGCATGGCTTTAATAATAAATGGATGAAATTCCTATCATTTACCGAAATTAGGTAGCAGATGCAAATGAAATTAATCTATTACCTCCAAAAGTCATGGGGTCTGGAATAAATGACCGATCCTGATCCCCACCACGATGCAAAAGCTGTCATTAGTTTCTAAATCACAAACTCGTGTTTGGGTAAAAGAATGGAATGCTCGGACAATCACAGGCCTAAAACAATGAAAGCAATAAAGGGGGAAACATCAAAACCAAAATCAGGTTTCTAACCTTTGGCGTGCCTGGTGTTTCACCATATGACCCATCACGGAAAGATGAGCCTTCTGCTTCTTTATATTGCACCTGAAACAAATACCATTACGAGTGATTAAATTAAAGAAATTGGGAAAAGCAAGCAAACACTGACATTGCTACTCCTATAAAATAATAAACATTAGAAAGGCAGCCATATGGACATTCTAACTAGTGAGATCCTCAAAATCTACTCAAGAATACACAATAAATAATGCTCCCAGTAGCAAATATATCTATCGCAACTCTTATATACCTGTTTCTGGAGATTCAGCCAAGTTAATATTTCTTTTCTTAGTTCAAGATGCTCTGCACAAACGGCTTTCGTGGGAACCCTTGGTTTCAAATTGACCTGCAATACCAGTAGAACCAAATTAAAAGGGAAATGCATTAGAAATAGAATCACTATTCTTCTTAAGTGATTGGGTATAATATACAAAGGTATAATAACTCATGAATCCAATGATATGCTCAGATTTGATACACATAACACATTGCTGCTCAGATTATATGCGTGTGATGTATCAAATGAAAAGGATCTTATCATGAATAATCAAGATTAGAACATACAAGTCATGTGAGTTATTTAAAGTCACGTGACTTTTTAAGTGATCATGTGATTTCCTAAATCTTTTAATCTTGACCATCCATGTATAGTTATATGATTCAAAATTATTCCTTTCAGTCTCATGTAATAAAGCTGGTTTTAAGCTTAAATAAGCTCAAGTATATTTTTATGTTATAAGATAATGTAATGAGGCTAGTTAAGCTGACACAAGCCAAGCTTAGATAGATCTCTGAAACTGAAAGTATATAGCTCATTTGCAGCCATACACACAAAACCAAATACCAATTTAATAGTTAAAACAGGCATTTAAAATCATCAGCCCTCCAAAAATAAAGAACATAAGGGCTTTATAAATGGGCCCTAGCCTACTAAACAGTAATACTAATGAGTACCCTAAGAGGGTACTAGATAGAGAATAAAAACATAGAAAAGTATTTAATAAAAGTACAACAATTAATAAATTCGAAACATAAAAGCTTTATTTTTTATTTAACATTTTCCATTTTCAAATCCTTAACAACTGCATTAAGGCACTCATTAACATTTGCCTTTATATACTGTAACAAATACAGATCAGTGAATACCACACGACTGCACCAGGGACAAGAAAATGAAATATCATAACTGCATAACAAAAGTGTAAAAACAAACCCCAAGATCTTGCAAAGTTTGTTCAACCCGCTTGATAGTTCGAAGTCCAGCAGAAGAGTTTGCAGCTTGTACCATTTGCTCAAGAGCATATGTTCTCAAATATACACGAAGCTGAAATGTTTCGCTGTCAGACTACGTTCAAATGTATAAGGATAAGAAAAATTGCTGAAATGGCCTCTCATAAAAAACTATTATTGAAATATTATGATTAATACATGATCAATTTTTTTAACATCAGTATCCACGTTAACCTTTCCTATGGGCAGACCAGGGAATGAGATTTAGGAGGTGCTAAAAAAAAGTGTCAGTGAACAGAGGATGCATCACCATAAACCTTCTGTATAACTTACCATGCGAAGAGAAGCTAAAGTAGATGTGTTATCTGGTAATGTAGAAGGCACAACCATTGATGGAAGTTGCATATTGGACGGAGATACAGTCTCACCCGGGACAGTCCTCTCTGTAAATTCCGCACCAGCATTAGAAGCAAACAACTGAGACTCTTCAGCAACCTAAAACGCATAAAATCAAGCATGTGTTATCTCAATACACACAAAGCTCCAATCTTGGCCCCAGGTGAAGACCTTAATCAGTTTCTAGTATACAATAATGTAAAAGAAAAAGTGAGGTCTACCCTATGCCCCCTATGCAATATATATGCCATGACCTACACATGGGTGATGATGTTTTTGGTTCCTTCCCTTTAGCAGCAAGCAAGCAACAATTAAAATTCTGATGACCTACAAATAGTTTGGTCAGGGGAAAGCCCTTATAAAGGGCACAGCCAGAGGTGGAGCTTGGTCCACACAATCGATACTCAACCTAAGGTAGCAACTAGGTTGGTCCATATAACTTGGGAAGAACAGCATGACATCACAGTGACAGACACACAGATGCTTGTACAGCTTAAGTGAATACATTTTATATATTCCATTAATTTGTTGCCACAATTCAAATGAAAAGGTAAATACCGGGATAATTTTGTATGATGCAGAAATACATAAGAAACCTCACCAAATAGTTTAATCATGTGTAGGAATTTAGAATCATGATCAATCAAGAAATCCAAATTTGATAATCTAAAACTTTAACATTGATTTTTTATAATGATTCCTCCCCTACACTTGTATTATAGAAAAAACAAATCTTTAAAAGATTACCTTAGGAGGAATGCGTGATTCAGCTATTCTTTTTGCTTCGACAAGAACCTGCATAAAATAACAGGAGGTAGCTATATTTGATTTGCTGTGAAAGTATGCTCATAGAGAAACATGTAAACTACTAATTTTTAACTTTTTTATAGAAAGGTAAAAACCTCTTCATCTCTTCGTTCTTGTTGCCTTGTTTGAGAGAGGACCATGGACAGTGCTCGTTTTCGCTCCATTTCTTGTGAAACATTATACGGTTCCTGCAATAAGGAGGAAAGCAAAGTTACTACTATGACCACATGGCAATATCATAAGGCAGTTTCCAGTTTGTTTTTACTGCACCTTAACAAGAGGATGTGCTGCAACATCCCCAGAAGATGGAGCCCTGGCAATTAATATCGCTCGGGATACTGACAGGGCATGAGATTAGAAAAAATGTTAAAATATCACATTTTTGCTTACACATTCTCCATCAAATCAAACTTAAAGTATGAACAAACGATAATTTGCAACACACAATAATTTATTAAGCAAAGACATACCACTATAATATCGATCCTTTAATTCCTCTACAGTTCGAGATGATGGGAACCTATCAGCTATTATAACAAATCGAAGATCAAATCTCTCACACAAGTCAAATAGTTGATTTGTCTCCTCCTTGGTCCACATCTACATATATATAGCATAATGTCATCACTCATAAAAGTATATTAATCCAACTTGACGCTAAACTCAAGGTCAAGGATTTATAATGGAAACCAAGGAGCAGAGATGTGTAGTATTCTTGAATAGAGAAACAAAATAAGAGAACTACAACCTCCCCCAACAGAGCAAGTGCTCCACAGAGAAAACAATCTCTGCCCAAAGCCAGAAGCCAAAAATAATAACAGAAAAAGGAATCCATGAATCCATGCAGCTCACTCCTCCCGTATAACTATCACTCAGTGTTGGTATATTACAAGAGGCAAAGCAGAAAACATAATAAACCAGCTTACAAGTGTCATATTTATCCTAGTGTAAACCCTCAAGGTCCTAGGCCATTTGCTTGGCTCACTAGTAATAGGTCTCTATCAGTCCATCAATTATTTTACACAAAATCTGTTAAATTAATGACTAAACAAAACACCTCTTGGATATAATGGTATAACTTCTTGTCATTAGCCGACACAGGAAAAACACAATTTCCAAAAATAAAAAAGGCCTTTCCAATGTAATGATTTATAAGCTCCGTCACAAGTAACAAGCAATTTAACACTTCTAAAATGGTGTATACACAAAAATACCTTTCAATTGTCCTCTTGCAATAGAAGTCAATGGAGAACCCACAATTACAAGTTGATATAGTGAATAAAATTCAGTTTGGGTGCCATAAAAAATAGCAACATCAGTTTAAGCAAACCATTCATCAAGTTCCATAGAATTGTACAATTAGACATGATACTCACCGGATCAGTCAAATACTTGTCATACTCCTCGTCTGTGTACTTGATAACGTCAACAGACTGCAGCACACCATATAAAAGAACATTCAATGATGCAAACAGAAGACATTCACTAAAGCTAAATTCAAAAACCAAGCATTGCAGAACATGCACGAAGACAAAGAGTACACTTGCATTTACCTTATTATACTTGGCAAAAGAATAGTCCCCCGTAGGAGGAACACCGTTGACAACTCGAACCTGAATTAGAAGAGAGAAACAACAATAACTTGCATGCTCATAGTCACACATAAGATACAAGATTACAAGGACTGTGTCTAACCCAATGGTAAAGCTGAAGATTATCTTTACGAGCAGAACTGGTGAAAGGAAGCCATTGCCAAGTGATCTGAACGGAGGAAGAAAAAGTGAAATTCCTCAATAAGTTAAATCACCAGATTAAAGCATTTCGAAAACACAAATAAAGAAATAAATAAAATAAACCAAACCTTTTCAAGAGAATGAGGTTTTTTTTTCAATTGAGAGGGTTCAATAGCAGGCATAAGAGGTGGCATGCCACCAGTAAGCGCATAGACCTAGAAATACAATTGAATTAAGTAACCAGAAACAGAGAATTGAGTATTGCATTATTACAGTAATTGATAAAAAAATTCAGAAATGCTACCTCGCGCGAAATGCCATCTGGTTTTCTCTGAGACTCTTTGGGAGGTCGAGACTTCTTCTCGAGGGGTGGGAATGAGTTTTTGGGTAATCCCAATATATCCTTCGCGTCCATTCACAATCATATACCGTTGACGGGCAACTTAGGGTTTCTGGATCAATTTCTCCATTATACGGATCGCAAACGCGGAGCAACTAAGAATTGGAAAATTCGAGTTTGGAGAGCGGTTGAATTGAACCGCTCTCATAAGTTACTTTGGAGAGCGGTTCAACTAATTTTTCATTATTTATATTTTGTCACATTTAAATTATTTTACCAATTCTTAGAAACTATCACAGAGTCCTCGTATCCCATCAACTACTTATAGCAATAAGATAAGTCGTTTGAAAAATGTTTCTCAAAATCAATTCTACCATTAAAAAAAGTTTTAAAATATTTATTTTAAATAAATAAAATTGCGTTTGAATCCATCAAACTCTTAAAAATGTACTTATTTTTATCAGTAATTTTACTTTATTGAATTTTCTACCTCATATGTTATGGAGTCAAAAAATAAAAAATTGCTATTATAAAAAAGCCATTTTTTAGTTATGCATGGTATAATATTTCTTTAGTAATTTATTTTATCTTTTACAATACCTAGTATATAGAATGAAAAAATCGAATTATTTTGTAACAAAATGACTCACCTTTCGATATTGTATTGTCATTTCAACAGTGGATTAAGCCCTTTATCTTGTGGGCCTAATTCCAATAACGTCACGACCCATAATTTATGTTTTCTTCAGTTGAAATTAACCATGATCTTGCATAGTAATATCATTTAACTTTACAAAAATTTCGCCCACAATAAATCTTTCAGAGTTCGTATAATTTTCACTTCATCCATGTTACACTTCAAAAATGAATGTCAAGCATATAATTTTCCTTTTTTAGGGTTCATCAAACGGCACCTGATCTATGTAAGTCCTAACATCATTTGGTCACAAAAAGAAAAAAGAAAAAATACATATATAGATTTTATCTCTGCATGTTACGAATGAAAGTTTCAAATTACAATCACAATCATCTTTCTGCAACTGTAACATCGAAATCATACAACACTCCTCTCCCGCTAGCAAATTTCTTCATCGTATTCAACGACGGGGCTTCCATTGTGGCCGATCCATTCTCTTCTCGCTTTAACCCCTCATCACTTCCCTTGGGAATCCAAAGAAGAATCTTCTTGTTTTCAACAGTGCCATTGTTCTTGGTTGAAATCTGCTGAGCCTTTCTCTGTGTCTTCCCCTTTTTCTTCTTCTTGCCCTGAACCTGACCCATGCACGACACTTTGGGAGACGATGGCTCTCTTGCACTAAAGCTTCCACCTTTGTTGTGCTTTCTTCGAGCTTCCTTCGGAATTATCGAAACACGTGCTGGCGATGATCGACAAGGATTCGGAGTTGGCTTATGAAACATTAGTATAGTCGCAGGTTGTTTTGACAGAAACTTCAACAACTTCCTTTTAATTTCAAACAATTTCTCCATATGTGATGATCCTTAGATTCAATTGATTCGAATTATGAACTGTGAGAAGGGCGATACATGCTAGACAAACATATTGGGCACGGTATATATAAAGGACGATGTTAGGGAAATTAAAAATCAAATAATGAGAAAAAAAATAGGGGGAAATTAAAAAATGTTTATGGTTGACATTGATGGTAGAGTGTAGCGTGCTATTATTGTAGAGTAAATGTGGAGGAAGTTTTCTGCAACATGCTTAAGTTGCCGGCACACAATAAAAAACAATACATGAAGCTTGGATTTGGTCGTCGTTTCATAGATTGATGCGTCATTTTGACACTGACATTTGTCCACTTGTTGGGAAGTTCAACTTTTAGCCAAAATAATTAACAGTTTCGTTAATAAGATTGATATAACATCTAAAATTACATATATATTTTTATTTTATATATATTCCAAAAATATATCTAAAACATTAAAAAAAACGTCTTTAGGGCTCCCTTAAATGGTACCTAAAACATTTTTCTATTGATTAAAGTATCAAGATCTCTCCAACCAGGTTTTAATTTTCAAATTACTTATTATAATGCTGTTCCACGAGAAGACAAGCACTGATGCACGAGAGTATATTTTGTTGTTTCTTTTCTTCCTGTCTTTTATTGAATATTGTGCTGCTTAATTAATTTAAGAACATAGTTTGTTGAGTGAAGTGCTGACTTTAGTTATTGCATAATGTCAGAAGGTACGATCTACTGAACTTCAAACTGAAAATTATATATATATATATATATATATATATATATATATATATATATATAATGTCATGTAAATGTTTTAATTTGTCCAATTTTTTAAAGAGAATTTGAGAGTTATAGTAAGTAAAATTTATGTAATTGGATCAAATATTTTAAGACCAACATATTAATTTTATGTCTACATAACTCTTTATTTGGATCTGTAGACAGAAAATAAAGATAGATAAAAAAAAGTTTAAAATTTAATTAAAATAAATTTTTTCTTAACCTTTTTCTGTACTTCATGTCAAGTGGTGGTAAGTTAAGACTAGAATTGGTTTCCTTGTTGCATTTACTATTCCTTAATTTAGTTTCAATTTTTCAATTTCAAGGAAGAGTGATGAATTTGGTTCCCTTGATGCATTTACTCTTAAATCATTTAAATTATACTATATTATTTTTATAATTATTTGTATCATATTTTTCATAATTTAAATATATTTTATTGTTAAGGGGTGATATTTCAATATATATATAGTTAATATTTACACACGAAAATAAAATATAAAATACAAAACTGGTTTGATAACAAGTATGGTTAGCTGCTTTCTAATATTTTGTGTGCTATTCTTTGTCTTCGGCCAGCACCAATTGTCTTCGCTTCTAAAATTGTTAGGATCTTTGGTAATAAGTGCCTTTTCAGTTAGTTGAAGGTATCCAAAGGTATTGGTTAAAAATAAAAAGTTAAGTTTAAAATACATTAAAAATTAGGATATATAAAAATTGTCTGATAAAATATTAATTTTTACTAAATTTACAAATCATCATAAAGGAATTAAATAAATATTCTTAGAAAAAAAAAATAATAATAATTTTAGAGTTTAGAATTTAAAGATACAAATTAATTTTAACTAAAAAAATGTAATTTACTTTTTATCTCATTTTCTTTTCTTAGAATTATTAAAATTTTATTCAAAAATTAACACCTGTAACACTATCAAAACTTTATAACAATTCCATTAGAAAATTTAGACCAAAAACATGTTTTAAATTTTAATGAAACTTCAAATATTTTTTATACAAATATATAAAATATACTTAAGAGTTCTTTTTTTTTTTTTTTACAAATATCTATTTTAAATAATAAAATATCATACATAACACGCCGCATGTTAGTTCTAAATTAACTCACAAAATTTTTTTCTCTAGAAACTTATTACAGAACGCACTAGAGGCCAAAAATAAAATTACGTTTTAACAACAAAACTTCAGAAGGTTGGGATATCTGCAGCGTTATTAAATAAATGCTGGGGGAATCCAATTAAGCCACATGTTCATTGGCATAATGGTACTCTTTTGCTCCTACCATAAAAAGAATCCAAATTCCAGTGAAATGACCTTCGCATAAAATAAGCACCCTATATTTAGTGAAAGTAATCAACAATATGAGAGACAGGAAGATACCATTTATTTTATAACTAGGTTGGGACATCGTTTGTTCAACATCCGTACCAATGTGCCTTAAACTTGTTACAAAATAGAATTTTACAGCGATCAATATCATCCTCAAGACTTTACATGCACAAGTATTGAACAAACGTATATTAGAACCGGATGACTCAATCACAAGCCAGGCTTAAAAAATGTTCAACTACTAAAAGCAGATTTGAATTCAGCGTTGACAAACTGTTTCGAAGTTTTTGTCAAGAGGGAGTCAAATGATATAGGCAATTAATGACTAATATACCTCGAACATTCCAATATCTCCTCCCACCAGAACTTTGAGTACTCCATCTAGCCTCATGTTGTCCTGAACATTTTTGAATTAAGCTGAGTTCAAACTAAACTTTTTGAATTAAGCTCGAGTTCAAACTTGAGATAATTTTTTTTCACATGCACAAATAGATAAGGAGGATGGAGAGTTGAAGAGTTTTTCACGGCCAACAGAGTCTCTAGTAAAGAATTTCTGAATTATTTATATTGTTAAAATGCCTAATCCAATAAGAGAAAAGTCTTGACAGTCCTATATATTAGCTTCAGCAAAGCTGATAGTTTACCTCAGCGAGTGCTTCTATCATCCTTGTCACTAGTCTGTGGAGTGTACTGGCTGGTTGAGGACGGTGAGTAACCAGGTTGACTTGGTGAGTAACCCGTACTGGGACTGCAAATGATCAACAAGAAAAATAACAAAACACAGACGGTGGTCAATGCTCTCCATTCAATTTAGTAGTTAAAGAACGATCTATATACGTATGCATACCTGAATTGGGGAGAGCTTGGGCTATAGTCTGGGCTCACCCCAGAATTATACGGGCTATAAAAAAAGAAAAAGCATGAAAAAGTCACAAATAATATAGCATCTTCAATTTTACAAATAACACCACTAAACAAGGCAGAAAAATCTCCAATTCTACTACTGTTCTTACCTCGAAAATGAGATAAACTATTCAAAGGCTTGATAAGACAATAAATGAAGTCAACTTACCTGCTGGGACTGTATGTTGGGCTTGAAGGAGAATAAGACGGAGACGTTGGTGAATATGATGGAGAAGTCGGGCTGGAAAATAATAAATTAGACATTTACTTGGAGTAAAGAAATAAATATGCAATTGAGAAAAAAAAACACAGGACAACGATTTTATTCAGCCACCCAACTAGCTAACCATTGAACAATATGGAATATTCAAAGGAAAATAACTTCTATTACAAAAGATCAGGATTCCTCCTCAAACCCCAGTTCTTGACTGAAAAATGAAGGGAATGAGACTCAAGTTTTTGGCATATCATTGTTTGTTTACAGGTTACACACATCACATTCAGTAGCAAAAATAAATATAAAAAAAAATCCAGGAACTACTCACCTATAGTTTGGAGATGTAGGACTATATGGACTAGATGGAGACAATCTTGGACTGCTGGGAGAATATGCCAACGAAGGACTATACTTTGCTGACTGTGGATTGTAACTAGGGGAGGTAGGACTGTATGATGGAGATGTTGGGCTATATGAAGGCGATGTTGGGCTGTATCCAGGAGACGTGGGACTGTATGCAGGGGATGTAGGACTATATGATGGAGAAGTCGGACTGTAAGAGGGTGATGTAGGGCTGTAGGAAGGTGAAGTTGGACTATACGAAGGTGATGTTGGGCTATATGATGGAGAAGTAGGACTATATGCAGGTGAAGTAGGGCTGTAAGCTGGAGAAGTGGGGCTGTATGCAGGTGAGGTGGGGCTGTAGCTGGGAGATGTAGGGCTGTAGCTGGGAGATGTGGGGCTGTAGCTGGGAGATGTGGGGCTGTAGCTTGGTGATGTAGGGCTATAGCTTGGTGAAGTGGGAGAGTAAGATGGACTTGTAGGTGAATAAGCTGGACTTGTAGGACTATAACCTGGAGAGCTAGGACTGTAAGTTGGAGAGGTAGGGCTGTACCCAGGAGATGTGGGGCTGTAACCAGGAGATGTGGGGCTATACCCAGGAGATGTGGGGCTGTAACCAGGAGATGATGGACTATATCCTGGTGAGGATGGACTGTAACCAGGAGATGATGTAGGAGAAAATGCCATCCCACCCACATAAGGTGAAAACTGGGCATCAGAAGTAGGAGACAGACGTAAATTTGGGCTCAACAAATAACTTGGAGACATCAACCCTTCATGATATGGGGTTCCAGATATTGGGGATCGAGCAGGAGTCATGCCAAAATCAAGACCATCCATATAACTAGGTAGTTGAAGCTCAATAGCATTCTTCAGCATCTCATCATTAAGATACAGGGCACATTCACCAGTGCCAATGGGGGCAAGCTGACCTAACATGATATTCTCAGTGACACCCCTCAAGTGATCAGTCTCAGCATACACTGCAGCATCAAGCAGAATATCAACTGTCTCTTCAAATGAGCATCTCATCATTGGCCCAGTATCATTCCGGTTGATACCATGGCGTGTAATTGCCATCAAATGCCCCCGATAAGTCATGGTATCACAAAGAATAGCCAAATGCCTATAATTGACATAAGAACCGTCAAAAGAAATGACAACACGCAATTCATCCAGCAGAGCCCGCCGAACTGCCTCAATACCAAGAACTTCAATAACTTCAATCAAGTGATTGCTTGTGGTCCTTCTTGCATCAACATCTTCATGGCACATCACAGCTAAAAGGTTGACACCTTCAGTATCAAGCATCCATTCCTCATGAGGCTTAAAACCTTCACTCTCATCAAACTTTTGAACTTTAGTGTTTTTTATAAAGACTTTATTGATGTCTGGGATACCTCGTAAGGTCA